ACATCCATCAAACATGGCATGGAACTAGAATAGTCTACCCCGGTGAGCGAATTAAAGGGTTCAGTTCGACATTCCAACCACCTGAAGAAGACCGGAGCGTACAACGGCCGAAACGTTGTGATAAATATAGCGACAAAGATGAGGACAATAGTCTGAATAATGTAAATAATGTCCCTCTCTGGTGTTGCATAGCCCCTGGGTAGAGATGGTCTTGGCGACGGTGTCGATTCACTCATAATGTTATATCTTCTTCTTCTTCTTCTTTCTCTCTCTCTCTCTCTCTCTCCTTCTTCTCCCGGGCAGTGATCGCTAGTTGTTTTGAGTCCAGAGATAAAAGAACTTAAACACAGGGAATTTTACTTAACGATTTTATTAATCACGTCGACATGTGCATTTCTGAATATCCAGTGGGGTCGCTCCCTCCACTGGGAATCCGGTTCAGACACGAAAGAAAATACGTCTATATTGATTGACGATAATGAACAAATCTCTGAAAACCCTTTCTCTATCTATCGTTCTCACGCTGGCTCCGCTAATCAAAATCGACTTCCTTGTTTCGTCTTCCATCTGACCCCGAAGGTCAACCTCAGGAAGTCCGAGCAGTGATACCATTACCCTTAAAAGTAATAGTCTGTTAAACTATTATTTAACACTGGTTGTGAGCATGTTGTCATTTCTTTTACGACTTCCTGTTTGTTTACTCACTCAGTCTATGGTATTCCCCTATTGAACGCCATTTCCCTTGCTTCCATTTATCTCTTTCCATTTTTCTGTTCTTCACGTCATCAATTTGTTTAGCTTTTATAATGCCTCTTTCGCTAATCCAATGCCTGTTCGGATTTCTTTGTCGCATTTTCAATCATCTTCAAAAACACGTCCCAGATATTTAAACTTCTGTACTTACTTGATATCAACATTTACAACTTGTAACTAACAACTTGAGATTTCTATCCTCTTGAAGTTGATGGTTAGTCCTTTTAACTAGCTTTCTTTTAATTCCCTTCCTAGGGGATTCTGCAGCTTTCTCTGCCTGTCAGCCATATTTTTAATCATTTCACCCCACTCAAGGTGGAAAAGCCACTAGTACGCAAGGGTTACAGGAAGTGAAATTGAAAGAAAAAACTAAGAATTAGGAAGATTGAGGAAAGGTCAAACGATGAAGGGGATTCAAGAAGATGGCTATTGACATTGCATTTAAACTTTTGAAGATTGTAGTTATCAGGAAAGCAAAGAAACAGAATGAAGTTTCCCAGGTAAGAAGTGCGAGAAAAAGAAACCGTTGCAGTAGAAATGACAGTAGCATTTAACTATTTCAGCAGTAAACGAGTGGGACCTAAATGCCAATCTAGTAGCACGCTTAAATTCCTGTAGTCGGGGAACCAGGGAAAAAAGCTCGTTAGAGCAGATATCATGAAAATATTAGCAGAGAAGATATAGGAAAGCCACGTCACGATGGTGAGAAAGTCACTGAAGTCAAGATACCTAATTTGTAATTAAGTTACAAATCCTTCTTTGGATAATGTTATGGGACCTTACCCATAATAACATAATGGACTATTCCATACGTAATAAATACTGCGCCTCAAGAGGAAGCAGGGAGTTCAGTCCGAAGTCGGGCGACCGTCTCACCGGCTGATCGGTTGAACTCTCTGCCTTCTGGCGGGGAGGAACCCGAACGAGGCTACGCCGAAGGGTGGAGTCTCTTTCGGGGAGGTAAACCGACCCTGAACCCGTTTATACGGGTTCAAAGGGCATATTTTTGGCCGAGCCCACGGGCTCGGAGATCCCACGTTGAACCGGCCTTGTGCCACATGATGCCCTCGTGGGGTGGGAGGTGACTAAATACTGTTCAGTCTGAAGTCTGGAGTGAGGTCCGTCAGAAGTCCGTCAGTCAGTCAGAGCGAGCGAGTCAGTCAGTCGAGTCAGAGGCCGTCCGAAACAGAGTCGCGTTCAGACAATTACTGCAAGACATTGGAATAGTGATACTGGTCGAGAATACATTGTTCTCTCTACTAAACCTGATTTTTCTTACTAACACTTTCTACTTCTCTGTATATATTCCTGTTTGTAATATATCTGTGTTATTCCATATCCGTGTTCGAGTTCTTCTTTATTGGTTCTACCTTGGACCATCACCGTGGTACAAGGACCTGGACCATAACAGATAATGTCAAGAATCTCGAGATGTACAGCAGGAGCACCAAGTCTTACATTGTTCTGATTACTACGGTAATAAGTTCAAGTAGTGTCTTCAGATCCTTTAGGTTGGTGTAGAGGTAGAATAAATCTGTTGTTTAAGACATATCCTTACAAGGGAAAACATATCCTTGTCTGACGCCATTTTTGTACTTAATTCTTTTTCTATACTTATGCAGGCGGTTTTTGCCCAGTATAAGTTCTGTATTATGCTACCATCTTTACCAAATCGATTAAATTTTCTTAGCAGTTCAAATAGATACGTGTGCTGTACTTTGTCAAATTCTCTTGCGTAATCTATAAAGTATAAGTGAAACATCTTTCTGTATTTGTATTGATCTCTCCCATCCTGATGGCAATGGTTCTGATAAAACTCTACGAATGGATAAGTTGTCTCTTACAAGGCTCCCCGGCAGTAGCCTTGGACTGGTTTAGCTGACCCCAGCTTAACCTGTCAGAGGCTACTGCTGACCCTAACTGAACCTGTCCGAAGCTACTCCACAACTTATACTAGAAGCAAACAATCTGTATACGGATAGGAAAAACATAAGAGATCGTTCATGAAATTTGCGTAAGATTAAATGTATTAGTAGGATATTGACTTTATTATCTATCATTGTGATACGTCCCGGAAAGGGATATATTTGAGCGAAGTAGCTAAGTGGTTTTGGCTACTATAACCAAGTAGAATATGTTAGCAGTAATCGACTGGTACGCGTCGTACTCGCAGGTAAGAAGTGTAGATCAATGGCGTAGTCCAATGGGCGTTGTTATAGACTTAGCTCTCAGACTAAGGCTCTTTGGCTCTGTCGTACCTACACGTCCGTCGGTATTTATGACGGACACCAGCCAATCATATTCCAGTGAGGGGGAACACAGGTGTACGTATATTCCATTATATCACTATCTATCTATCTATCTATCTATCGTAGTTTCTTCATATCTATCTATCTATCTGATATGTCCCGGAAAGGGATATATTTGAACGAAGTAGCTAAGTAGTTTGGCTACTATAACCAAATAGAATACGGTAGCAGTAATCGACTGATACGCGTCGTAGTCGCAGGTAAGAAGTGTAGATGAAGGCCGTAGTCCAGTGGGCATCGTTATAGACTTAGCTCTCAGACTAAGGCTCTTTGACTCTCCTACACGTCCGTCGGTATTTATGATGGACACCAGCCAATCACATTCTAGTGAGGGGGAACACAGGTGTATGCATATTCCATTATATCACCTTGGATAAAGAAAATATCCACAAATGCATCTAATAATGTAGGTTTTCCAAACAAAGTCTCTAGTCCGTGTAAAATCGTCTCGAACTTTCCGACCTCGACTGACATAAAGTCTCCCTAGTACAAACTACGGATATCGATTTCCATTAATATTTGCATACGAAATCTAATTAGCGATTTTAATCAACGGCTTTAGGATAGTCATGTAGGTCACTGTTAGAACTGTAAACATCACAGGATATCTTCACAAACTAATTTCAAATGTAATAAGAATATATGTTCTGCTGTACGATCTATTTTCTCAATGAGGTTTGTTAAGATATCGTTTCAACGAGCATCGTGCAGTTACAGGCATCGGAGTGGGGTTTTATTAATATCTCCAAAGTTGACTAATTTAGTGCTTACTTATATTACTATTGCTAATGCAATTCTACTCCCGATTTGGTCTTACATTCATAGTACATTATCTGCCTATTCTTCGTTTTATAATAATTTTTACACACATTTTTTATGCGGGTTACTCGTTTCTTTCCAATCTCTCTTGCCTTCACTGTGCCATGTGAGTGTCAAATGCTCCAAGCCCTCTTTCTTCATTATGTTTCCCTGTAATTTCAACTGTTTCTTTCTGATTATAAGTAGATGTGTATTTTTTGTTTCCATTCTCCTTAAAACTTCCCCTTTACTCGCATGTTCTGTTCATAGTATTCTCAGCAGTCTTCCTTAGGACCCCATTTCTGTTACCTCATGTCTCCTCTTCATCTGTGAGGAGATTGTCTGAAATTCACTTCCGTATATAGAGGACTGATATTACGTAGCTATTCAATACACTTTTCTTTGTTTCTCACGATATTTTCCTGTTTCTTAATATTTTGCTTAGCTTCTGCAACGCATCTTTCGCTAACCCAATGCAACTACGGACACTATGCTTCGTTTCACGAGAGAACACGGATTGGGAAGGATACTAAAAAGACAAAATTAACTAAGAGATACAAAATGTCGGAAGTTGTGGAGAACCATGATCGGCTATTTTCTGAAGGGGAATAGCATATTGAAGACATATTCTTTCCATTAACATTATTCGTATCAGCACGGTTATTTTTTTAAAATGATCGACATGTAGATATTATTACCGTCATCATTCCTTCCGCCGTTTATTCTCTTTAATATCATTACCGTTTATTAACAAGCGTCTTACCATAGAATAACTTTCAATGAAATTATCAAGTAGATAATGTCCGCTATGTAAAGGCTTCAATTATCATAGAGGTTCATTTAGTTTGTACTTTGTGCAAGACGAACGTAAATTAGCCTAATTCCTGGGCATCTATGGTCAAATAGTTCGTTTAAAAATCATTTAGACACTGTAACGTGTTTGATCCTAACTGGGTGCTCTACAACTATGCTCTCCCGCCTGACAAAACTATCTTTAGTAAATAATTATCCAGTGCTTCAACGTGTGACAGAGGTTTGTGATCTTGTCTTCGAGTCCATGAATACAAAAGTAAATACGAATTTCTTAAGGGCTTTATTCTTGTCACTTTCTGCTGGAATGAGTCACTCACTCAACTCAGCTTACGGCCACAACACGTTGAAACACCTGTTATCGTACGACTGCTGAAGTTAAGCAGCGTTGAGCCTGGTCAGTACCTCAATGGGTGAGCGTTTGAGAATACCATGTTCTATAAGTTTGAATGTGCAAGTTGTGTAATGACTCGACAGTGTTAATCGAGGAGCAGAGTTCCAATTTCCGTTGAAATCGTTATATTCACCTACGCGCAAATATCCTTGGGAAAGGCATGAATCCAACACTTTTCACACCAGCTATGGGTTAATTAGTAAGACTTGTATCATTAAGCCATTATTGTCTCAAAAAAATTTCCTACAATGTAAAAAAATGTTTTCTGGTCTTAAATAACTTCTAAATATTTGATAAGCCATAGAAAAACGCATCAATCATTAAACTCAATTCCAGGTAGGAGATGCGAACTGTCACTCTAGAAGTATCTCCACATATCAAGGTATTCTGTTAGTTTAACTACCGACATTGTATCAATTGCCAGTGTCAGGCTGTTTGCACAGTTGCTTACAGTACACTGTGTTCTAAAGCGGTTCCAAATCTAAGTTCTGACTGGGTTTGACATTGCTTAACTTCGGTGATCGAACGAGATCCAGTATTTTCAGCGTGATTTAACCATCAGCAAAGTTTTAGTAAATATTTGTATTATTCGACAAGTTTGAGAAATGAGATATCATTTTCATTTGATAAGCCACTTATCTCTTAGAAATGACATGGAAGCTTGGATACGCATGAACTTAAATGAGGGCTCCATACACTAATGACCTGGTGGCCGAGTCTACAAAAATGGCGACCTCATCTCCTGCAGAAAAGTAAAACGTCCACAAAAGGACACCTATCAAGTACAGAATTTTAGTCTCAATTATAAACGAACAATATTTAACTATTTCGAAATCGATTAAATGCTTACTGTTTCAAATATAAACAAACCTAGTAAATGTTTATTAACACAAAATCTTATTTTAAATATATTATTCCTTCAGAAGATGGGCGATCATGACTCTTTCTTACCTTATTAAACTTACAATAATGTTCGTTTCTTTACTATTCCAACAGACACATGTTCTGCCATTCATTTACACAAGCACGTTAGGCAGATTAATCACTTTTTCTTTCTGTCCCGCTAGCTTTCAATATACCCTTTGAGTGTCGAATCTTCAAATCCTACTTTTTCACTCCAAGTAAGGCAATAAAGCCACTAATACACAAGGGGATTACTGAATGTGAAATAATAAGAAAAAGAAAAGGACTAGAAGTTGGAGGACAATAAAAGAAGGATCAAGAAGACAGTAGATAACGATTGACATCGGATTTAAATATTTCAAGATCAAAGTTGGCTGGAATGCACGAAGCCGGATGAGAGATCCACAGGCGAAAAGTCCGAGAAAAAAAAAAAACTCTTAAGAAAGAAATTACTGTTGAACCTAACCGATTCCATTGTAAAATACTGAGATCTTATTGTAAATTTAGATTCCAGTGTTTTTGTCGCACATCCAATGACATCTGCCATTACGTAAAATTTGTCTTTCTCAACATCCGGGAATGGTCCTTGTATTTCTCTAATATATATATTTTAACTTCCCTTTCATTTTGTTGTTCACTTGCGCTGTCAGTGCCAGCATCTTGTAGGTTATTTTTCCTCATCTATGATTGATTTTCATGCTTTGATGGAATGGTTGAGTAGATATGGCAGCAATATTCCACGCACGGACGAATGGTAGATTTATAATTGTGCAAGAAAGATTCTGATAAGAATTGTTTGGCATGCTTCCTAGCAGTTCAGTATTCAATAAAATTACCCCGCTTCATGTCATTGGAAAACCTAAATCATCAAAAATCGCAGTGTTTCTTTCCTGGAACTTATCATCAGCCATGTTGATGTCAAATTAAATGAAAGCAGTTTTATTTTGGATGTGTTAAATTTTATAAACTATTCCTTGCTCCAGCTAACCATTGATTGGAGGTCCTTGCCAGTTTTACTTTGTCGGATCTGTCGGGCTTGCTACTAAGGGAGGAGTAAATAGTTGGGTCATCTGCATAGATACCTAGATGAGAAATGATGATATCGGTAATAGTGTTGCTGTTTATACTTAAATTAACGCTACATAACATAAGTAATAACTAAAGAAAGAAAATCCTACCTCTTGTATTAGAGTTGCATCAGCGAACACTGTTCGAATACACATTCAAAATTTGAATTCAAATTCATATTTTCAAGAAAGAATTTCTTTAATATAACCTTCATTGTTTATTTGAATCTTTTAATATCACCAGTTACGGATCTCCCCTACTTCACTTTTCTTTATTATCTCTGAATTGCAATGAGTTCTTGGGAAATATATTGGTGTGGTTTTCCGTTGCCTTCACCGCGACATTTTGGTTGAAATCAATGGTTTTCCGTTTTTTTTTTTTTTTTTTTTTTTTGGAAGAGCGGCAATTCAAATAAAGCATTCATTGTCATTGGAATATGCCTTAGATTAAATAAATATCAGAAATGATTGAAATTGGAAAAAAGGAGTCGTAAAAATGGGCCAAAATGGATGAAAGGATCAACGTAACGTATTTGGAGGAATATAAAATGTAGATTTTATTTTATATTCCAGCAAATGCACGTAGTACACTTCTTTTAAAGAGCTGGTATGATAACAAGAAAATCGACTATCAAAGCTCACTATAAATAATCATGTAATTAATTGAAATTCAGATTTTAAATTGCCTGGTAAATCTAGAAATTAGGAACAAAAAGTAAGTTTGAATCTAAAACAAAATATGAAAGATTAATCTTTAAATTTTAAACAAAAAAATACTGAACCGTAAGATCGACTGGATCAAACAATAGAGAATAAATAATAGTTGCATTCAATGTTGATATATGCTTCAAGACTTGAAAATTCCTCATAGATGTAGAGATGACTTGAAGCAACAGAGATGTAGAAGGGCGTACGGAGCTTGTGCGCAACAAGGAAACTCTCAGGAAAATGGAAGCAAAAAGGAGCCTTATACTTAGACTCAGAAAGCGTTGGAATTTCTGAGACACATGATAAGGGAAGAGGGTGTGGAGAATTTGACACTCAAACAACATAGTGAAGGCATGATGAGCAGATTGTGAAAAAGAATGGCAGAACAGTGTCTGAGAAGGATATTAAAAAGACAGATATTGCTAAGATTTGCAAAGGATAGGTACTTGTGGATTTCTCATTACGCGTCCCGGAGGATTTGACCGTTTCTTTTTTATTCTATGTATACGCATTCTTTATATTTATTACAATTTTCTTCCAAACTTCCTCATTGCTCATATGTTCATCGTATTCACAACAGTTTTTATGAAACACCATGAATAACCTTTATAGAAAACTGTTTTTTGTTTTTTTTGGTTTTTCTTTTGCAATATGTTTAATTATTATTACTCTTTACAAAACATGTGAAATGGTGATTTTTTAAAACAGAATAAAAGACGTTGGTAAAAACAATTAGGTTTACATACTTTTTCTTGAATTTAAGGTCACGTGACTTGTATACATTTTTTTTAAGCATTACGCCCCGAGCAAGGCGTGAAGCCATTAGGATGCAGGGGGTTGCAGAAGATTTGGAGCGAGAACAGATAGGAGTGATAAAAGAAAGGATGAGGAGAGGTATAGTGGATAGATCAAGGTAACTGGAGATGTCGATTGACATTACCTTTGAATAGTTGGAGATTATAGCTCTCAGGGAAACAGTAATAGGGAAGGGTGTTCCACAGGCGAGAGGTGCGAGGTATGAAGCTATTGGAGTAGAAGAATCGGCTACATTTAGTTGTTTCTACAGTGAAAGGGTGAGAGCGGGATGCCAGCCTCGAATTCATAGAGTCTGGGAACCAGTGAAAGCAGCTCATCGGAGCAATTACCATGAAAGTATTTGTAAAAAAGACAGAGAGAGGCAACGGTGCGTCTGTGATAGTGCAAATGCAGACAAGATGCCAGATCAGGGCCAATTATATTACATATCCGTCTCTGGATCTTGTCAAGAACTCCGAGGTAAACAGAAGGTGCCCCAGACCATATTTCGCAGCAATACTCCATGCAAGGGCGAATGGTTGATTTGTATATTTGAAGTATCGATTCCGGGGAGAAAGATTTCGTGGCGCGGCACACTCAAACATCAAATTAAAAAGCAGTCATTTCATTAAATATATATATATATATATATATATATATATATATATATATATATATATATATATATATATATATATATTAGTTAAGTCTGCAATTAATTTTTATTACTTGTTCTTATTGCATTTCCAGTGTCTTAAGTGGTGACTTCACTAAATATCATGTGATTGCTATTCCTAATGCTTCCTCCGAATTGATTGTGGCAATGTCGTTTATTTTTTATCATTAAAAATGTTTCTCTTTTTGAGTTCTTCCTCCGAATTTAATCGTTATGGAGATTATTATTTGAGGTAGGGAGTGACAAAATTCGACATGTGGGCTATAAGCGACCCACCCAATCATTTCGAATGATCACAAAAAAAAATATTTTTTAGATGTCTCTTTAAAAATGCGGTATGTGGTTACATGTAAATCTATTCGAAGTATGTACACAGAAATAAAAAAAATAATATATTTAATATGGGACCCCGCTTCTCAGAAAACGTACTTCCTACATAGGAATACTGACCTTATTATTGGAGTTATTTCGTACCACATGTACCTAGATCGCTACGTGTCACACTGTTACGATATCAGAAATTTCACACCGTGTCTTTCACATTTTTCTATTTATTATACCGGGTATAAGAGCTAAAATGTCCCAATCATGTAACAGCATAATTATCCATCCCACAAAATATTTAATATCTAAAAAGCACTAAGCTCATTGAGTATTTTTTTCTTTCCAGGTTTTCAGATAAGGCGTTTAGACAACTTAACGCCATCTTCAATAAGTTGGAAAATGATCCTGCAATATATATATATATATATATATATATATATATATATATATGGACTTTATTTTAATCCTTCAATCCAGGCTATGATTGATTAATGATGAATATGTCATTTTCGTTTATGATCGATTTCATCACGATTATTTTGTTAAGCGTGGAGAGTAATTATAAATTC